TTTCCATTTAATTCAAAAATTTCTTTTCCAACATATGTTATTTCAGGGCTCGCATTTTTCGTTTATATATGCCAAAATAATGTCAAAATTCAAAATAGTATTCGGATATTATCCGCGGATATTCGGATATCCGCGGATATACATTATGGATATTATCCGCTGATTAAGTATTTCTTTCAAAATACAATTCAAAATTTGGATGAAAGTTTTTTTTAAAACTTTAAAATTTTAAATTAATTATTTGTTGAATCTCTGATCCAACATTCAAAAATATTTCCAAAATTAGGGAAGAATACCCAATGAAAAGAAAAATAGATGGTGAAAATCTGTATAAAATTTACAAAATGTTGATGGGATTTAAAATTTCTTTTTTTCATTAAATATTGAGAGAATGTCTAATTCTCTGCTTCTTTTCTCCTCTAATTCTTTGCTTTTTTTCTCCTCCAATAATCTATACTACATTGGAGGAGAAAAGCGTGTCCCCACAAAAGAGTCAAACCACAAAAGAGTCAAAAGGCTAAAAACCCACAAAAGAGTCAAAAGGCTAAAAACCCACAAAAGAGTCAAACAGCAAAAAAACCCACAAAAGAGTCAACCCACAAAAGAGTCAAAAGGCTAAAAACCCACAAAAGAGTCAAAAAAGTTTTTATTTTTATTGTTTTTCTTCCATTTAAAATTGCTTTTTGGTGATAGAAACGAGGAAGGAGAAATTGCCAGAACATATTTCAGGTTTTTTGTTTCATTATTCCATAAAAAATGGATTTAAATAAGGCGTATCCTTGCATTAGCAAGGATTCCGCTTCCACAAGGTTTTCGCGGAAAAAAGTTTTTGCCGCTGCGGAGGAAGCCGGGCATGTCGAGCGGAACGACGGCCGCCGCTTCGCTACGGTCGTTGCGAGCGAAGCAAGCACGACCGCAGCGAAGCACGGCCATCGTGTAGCGAAGATCATGCCCGGCCTACCCTCCGTAGCAGCACAAAAACAGTTTTTCCTGCGAAGATTCTGTTGGTTTCGAACAGAAGATTCTGTTGGTTTAGAACCACTTTAGAACCGTTTTCTTATTAGATTTTTGTATTTTTGGGTTTTTAGATTTTTGACTCTTTTGTGGGTTGACTCTTTTGTGGTTTGACTCTTTTGTGGGTTTTTAGCCTTTTGACTCTTTTGTGGGTTTTTAGACTTTTGACTCTTTTGTGGGTTGACTCTTTTGTGGTTTGACTCTTTTGTGGGGGAGCCAATATTATAAAAATAAATTTTTGGAGTTTAATACTAGGATGATTTAGCAAAAATAACGGTTAAAATAAGTAAGATAAGAAAAAATAACCAAAAATTAAGACAAAACAAACAATCTGAAGAATTTGAAAAAATTTTCTTTTTTAATTTAAAGCGAAAGGATGTCGTGTTTTTAAAGCAAATGGAGTGTTTTTCAAATGGAGTGTTTTTCATATAACCAATATTTACTCAAAAATAAATAAACACACAAGTGGAGACTTCTTTTAGGTTTATTTCTTTACAGGGGAAGGACGGAAGGGAGGATGTGGGGAATTTTAAATAGTGACAAATTCACGACTTTCGGCGAAGGGGTGCAACCCTAGAATTGTTATTTTTTTCTTTTCTTCTTCATTTTTTTTCTTTATCCGCTCTGTTTGCTCATTTACCAGTTTACTTGATAGAATTTAATTCATTAATATCGGTTTAAATATGTTTGAAAATATCCTAAATTGTATGATCATGACAGGTTCGGTGTTATTTTTTGGATGTCTCATTTAAGCAGACAAAAGGTCAATTATACATAGTATTAAATTAAGAGGGAAAAGTTGAGTTAATTTGTCACGCGGACATATCTGGACGGACATATCGGAATATTTCAATGTAAGAACAGTTACTCTACTGATTTCGGGACCTACGGTCACAGGATTTTGGATAGTATATTGTCCTATTGAGGAGTAGAGTTTTTCTGTTAGAACAAACGAAAACACGCAAGAAATTATTTTTGTGTCCGCAAACCGATATGTCAGCCCCATATGTCCGCATACCGTTATTTTTACCAGAGATTTGAAAAAACTATACAGAAATGTTTTAGATTTCCTGTCTTCTATTCAAAATTAATTGAATAGGAAAATAAAACCTGGACACCTAAATTTTTTGTTTTTTTTATTTATATAATGAACAAACACACGGTATGTAATACAAACACTAACAGTGTTTAAAAAAATACAAAAATTAAAACAATAATAATAAATGTCATAATAAAGTATCGCTTAAACAACAACAGCTGCATAAAATTTTTAAATTTTTATTTTAGTGTTTATTAACCAAAAATTCTGAATTTTTTTTGTGGTGTATTTTAAATAGAGGGTCTGTCCGGTTCAATATTACAACAACAGTGGAATAAATTTTTTGGATTTTTAAGTCTTCTACTTTTTTATTTGTTGCGGTATTGCCATTTTCTTCTTCTTTTATTGAATTTTTGTCTACAACAGGTCAAACTTCTTTGTTCTTCTGCTGTGGTCAAAATTCAGGTTATTTTAGATTGTATTTTTTTCTCTCTCTAATCTTGGGGATTTCTGAGGTCTCTCCGAAAATTGAAACACATTGGCTTATTTTTGGTATAAAATTTTTTTGGGTAAATATAACGATTAGACAAATATTCAAAGGAGTTCTTGAGATGGGTCAAATGATGGGAATATAGGTTAGGTTTGATGACTGAACAAAATTATCAAGTCGAATCTACGCGTGGAAAGACTTCTCCCGCTGCAAAGGGATTAAGACAAATGCTCATAACTATGTTGATTTAAGCCAGATTTCGATGATTTTAGTACTATCCTACTCAATTCGAAGAGCTTTTTCGAATGGTAAATAATTTCCCAGAGAAAGATATAAAAATCAATGGAAAAAAGTGGTAAGTCAAAGTATTTACCAACCATTATAATAACTCAACAATAGGTACACCTCTATTTAAGACACATTAGTTTAATTTGGCTGACAGCTGGAGTGGGAACCTTACCAAACGATACCTTCTATTCAAGATCTATTCAAGATTTTAAGTAATCAATTTCCTTTTTATTATTTTATTATTTACAAGATTTTTTTAATTTTTTCTAAATTTTCGAAAATGTCTTCCGATGAATATGTCGACCCCATCTCTGATTCACGAATGTAAGATTTTTATTATAAATCTTTCTAATTTCTATATCAATTTAGATGATAATCCACTAGCTTTAAGAAATAAAAGTTTAAATTTATTGTTTTTTTTTTAATTTTAAAAAGCATAGTTGGCGAACTCCACAAGAAATTTCAGGATGAAAATGTTAATAATTCTTTTTTACTTCTTCTTCAATTTCATCTGGTTTATTTTTTATTCTATTTTAAAATGAAAAAATGATATTTATCAATCTAGAAATAGTCAATGGCAACAATTGTTCTGTTATCAATCTTTTCTCAAAAAAAGAAAATCATGATCCATCATCATCTTCTTCTTCTTCAACAGGATTCAATCATCAGTCAACTTCATCTGGTTTATTTTTTTTATTTTAAATGAAAAAATAATATTTATCAATCTAGAAGTTGTCAATGGCAACAAAAAATATTCTACTATCAATCTTTTCTCTAACAAAAAATTATGATTCATCATCTTCTTCTCATTAAAGGGGTCCAATCATCAGTCAACTTTACCTGGTTTATTTTACCTAAATTTTAAAATTAAATACTCATAAATTATAGTAATAAATAATAAAAATAAATAGGTTAAAGTGGAAAGGAAGAAGAAAATAATAAAAACTGAAGTTAAGAAGAAAATTTTATACAGATTTTCACCGTCTATTTTTCTATTCATTGAATACTCTTCTTGAAGTTTTGTATTATTTTTGAATGTTGGATCAATGATTCAACAAAAAATCAATTTAAAATTCTAAAGTTTTAAAAAAAACTTTCATCCAAAATTCTGAAAATTTACCTATTTTACCTCTGCAATACACAGAATTATTGCTTTTTCCTAATCGTATAAAATAAATTTTTCTTAATTTTTAATTATTCTTTATTTTATTCTTGAAATATTCCAAAGAATTTATTTTTTCTTTAACTAAGCGTTAAATTAAATTTTTGCTTTTATGTTATTGTTTTACGAGAAATAAGTATATACCGTAAATGCTCGAATAATTACCCCTTTAATAAGTACCCCACTTTTTCCTACACAAATTTTAAAAATATTGAAAAAATCATTGTAATTTTTAATTAATTATTGAAACATTTTAAGACATAATAGGTATCTAAAAATAAATCGAGTTATACTCGATCTCTTGAGATATACCCCAAATTTAGCTCCTCCTCTCGATTAATTACCCCCTCCAGCAATAGGCCGAAACAATAATTACTTAGGGTAATTATTCGAGCATTTTTGGTAGCCGAATTTAGATAGCACATCTATTCTAATTTATACAAACCGATCCCGACAGACTGTATTATTATATTTTATTTTTATCAAAAATATAGATAAAATTAATAAATTGAAAAGTATAAAATAATATTATTTTTTATAAAATTTTTTATTTTGTTTTTTGACATCCATTTGTAGCTTTTTTAATTCCATTCGGTGAAACCAATTTTCTGTTTTTATTACTCACAAAATCATCTTTTTTATCTTCCTCTTTTGAAATATTTAAATAAATATCTTCACTAACTTCAATTCCATTCTCAATATGTTCCTTTGTATTATTTTCTTTAGAAGTTTTCTTAAATAATTAACAAAAATTGTCTGATTTTTATTTTATAATTAGAATTAGAGACCGGACAGTGCCGTACTATCGACGGTATTTTTTGGTATTTATCAGTATTTCGTATCTAGTACGGTACGTTATAAAATATTGGGCTCTAATTAGAATATGAAGATTAAAACAAAAAAATTAACTACAACTTTTTGTTTTAAAAATTAATTTTTCAAAATCTTTAACTACAAAATTAGACTCTCACTGATATTATTATATAGATATTGTAACCCCAAAAAACCTATCCCCAATTATTACCCACCATTTCATTATTAGCTCCCTTTTTGTTTTTATTGTTTAATAAGCTTTGAACGAATTGAATAGTAAAATTGTGCATTCTAGGCTTATTTTTCTCAAAAGTTTCCAAAGCACTTTCACGGCTAACTTTCCATTCAAACATTCTTTGATAACAGGGACGGACATATTTAACACGTCCAATGTCAGAAACAAATTTTAAAGCAATTGGAATTATTGGCTCCCATTTAGCTTGTAAAGCTACCAAAATCCATTGACATTTACTTAAAATTAGTTTATTAAAATTTTTTTATTAAAATTTTTAGTGGAATTAAAGGATAATTAATTCTAAATTATTTTGAAAATAAATTAAAACATACACATCACAATTTCCTGTAGTGTTTAATGAATATTTCTTTTCCATAATTTCAATACGTTCATGCTAAATTAATAAAAATAAAATTTATTTAAATTATAGTAATTAGGTATTTTGATTAAAAAATTATTTTGATATTTAAAAAGAGTATTCTTAAAGAATACATTGAATGAATGAGCACTTCCACTTGATATATCCTTAACAAAAATTTTTAAAATAATTTCAAAATTTAATTACTTACAACATCCAAAAGACTGAAAAATTTTTCTTTTTGTGCAGTCATCATTTCTTCAAATTCAATAGCTTCAAGGTCATTTATTTCTTTATCAGATCCATATAACCATTTATTGGCAAGTGATTTGCAAATTTTTAATAAAGTTTCGTCAAAACTATAAAAATTCGAAATTAATTTTTAAATTTTTTTTAAAACGTCGGCTTTTGAGGAGGCATTCCTGGCCTATGTAACCAGTTATTCCAATTAATTGAATCCAAAATTGAACGTTTGTCATCATAAAATTCGTAGAGATACTAAAATATAGTTAGAATTTTAGAAATTTCGAGAATACCTAAATAAATAAATTTGTGGTTCGATTATCTCCCCTGCCCTCCCCCCCCCCCATATATTTCCTTTGCTCCTTTCAGCCATACTTTTGTATGTGGGAAACAAGCTCAAGACTTATCTTATATATCATTCTATTCCTTTTATTATGAATGTTGAAAATTTTTTTGTGAAATTCACACAGTACCATTAAATATTGAAAAATTATGGAGGAGTTTTTAAATTTTTCCCCTTTTCCCTTTCAACAAACTGATCTTTTTTAAGCTAAAAATTCATAATTTAGTTCATTTTGCTGTCATCTACTCAGATCGTCGAACTCTTAAATGACCTATCATTTGTATAATCGAAAATAAGAAACCAAGCTGAGGTTAATGGGGAGATAATTAAATTTTTACAATAAATTTACTCATTAAATTAATTTTTAATAATTTTCTAAAATAATAATTAAATAATTTACATCCATCCATTCATCTGTAACAATTGATCTATAGGCAAATTTATTAATATAACTTCGAAGGAATTGTTCAAAACGAGGTGGATCTCCTAACCGCTGTTCTAATAATAAAAGTAAAGCAGCTCCTTTTTGGTAGGGAATTGGGCTGAAAATTGGAATTTAAATTTTGGAATCATCTTCTCAAAATAATTTATTTAAAATTCCAATTTTTTACCTAAAAACATCATCAGCACATTGACCATCTAAAGGAACAATTAAACGAGTAAATGGATGTTCGGGATGAAATGTTTCGTAAATACACATTCGTAAATGATCTTCCCATCCAGATAAATGCATAAAAAGACGAAATTGTTCTCCAAATATTTTCCCAAGAATTTTATATTCAACAAATTCAGTAAACCCTTCATTTAACCTTTAAATTAAATATTTATTTCTATATAAAATTAAGGTATAATTTCGGAAAACGAACAAAGCCGAAATAGTTCGAATTATATGTCATTCGAAAGAGCTCGTCGAGTTGAGTCGAATGGTGAAAAAATTTTCGTGCGGACTCATACAGGGGCTGAGATATATGCCCCCGAAAATCGAAAAACCATAGGGGGGACCAAGCACTTTTTTGGGGTGAAAAATTCGAAAATGCAAATTATACCTCATTCGAAAGAGCTCGTCGAGAATGAGACGAATGACACCAAAATCAACGAAATCGGACTTGATTTGACAAAGTTATGACCGTTTGTTTTAGCTCCTTACCTATGGCACTTGTGGAGATTTTTGCTGCTACGGAGGCCCCAAATACGTCCAGAGCAAGGGATATAGGAATAGGTTTATGTTACGAGCACAGACCCATCGCCCGTAGACTCCCCGCGAGGCGCGTGCCGCAAAACCCCGCGCGAAGCGCGGGGTTTTGCACAAGCGCCTCGCCGCCTACCCATAGGTTTATGTTGGTAGTTTTTCTATCATAACTTTGTCAAAACTTGTGCAATCGAGCTGATTTTGGTGTCATTCAACTCAGCTCGTCGAGCCCTTTCGAATGAGCTATTATTTGCATATTCGAATTTTTCACCCCAAAAAAGTGCTTGGTCCCCCCTATGGTTTTTCGATTTTCGCGGACCTATATCTCAGCCCCTGTATGAGTCCGCACGAAAATTTTTTCACCATTCGACTCAACTCGACGAGCTCTTTCGAATGACATATATTTCGGCCAATTTCGGCTCTGTTCGTTTTCCGAAATTTTTCCAAAATTAAGTATTTATAATTACCAAAAATGTTCCCAAGAAGCATTTGTAACTAAATTTCCAGTCCAGCTATGAGCTATTTCATGTGCAACAACGGTCGTTAATGAACGGTCACCGGCAATTATTGTTGGAGTTACAAAAGTCATACAAGGATTTTCCATGCCCCCAAATGAGAAAAATGGAGGTAAAACAATCATATCAAAACTTTATTAAAATAAAGTAAAATTTGTATATGTACTTTCAAAAGCTTGGAATCCTGACTGGAATTAATCGGAAAACAAGAATTTTTGAATCGGGTTTAACAAAAAATATTTTTACCGTCCCCAACGATATTCCCCCATTAATTCTGTTGCAATTTCCAACATTTTTTTGTCTCCTCAAATTCTTTATGAGCAATATCCACCATTGAAGGTTCTGCCCATACAGCACATCTTTTACTTATATCACGTTTGACTAAAGCGCCAACAACTATAGCAAATAAATACGAGGGAATTGGTACTTTCTTAAATTTTAATAAATTAATTTGAAGATATGTATGTAATTATGATTTATTTGAGAGAATGTGTATGTATGTTTTCAAAATATCGTGATATATTACAATGGCATCCTCTATTAGAATTTTTTTACCTAAAATCTTCTTAAGATTTCAAAATAAAATTATTATATTAACACACCTGTAAAAAATTAAATTGAACAAATTGTTCACTTCCATTTATTTCTCGATTATTTATTGGACTTCCCTCATCTTCTAACAAAACGGCACTCATTAAACATTGCATCCCTTTTGGAACAGTTATATTAGCTGTATATGTTTGTTTAACTGCTGGTGTATCCATGCATGGAACGAGTGATTTAGCATGTATTTGTTGGCATTGACTGTATAAAAATGGATGTGTACGGTCTGCTGTTAACGATGATTCTACAAATTGAAGAGCTGAAGCTGAACTTGAAGTTGAATATTGAAATTCGATTTTGCTAAAAAATAAAAGAGGGGGATATTCAGATATATTTTTTCTCAAAATTATTTTCTAATTTTCAAAATTTACCCTTTCTGCCCGGAACTAAATTGCCCATCTATCAATAAATATTTTCCAACAAGTGGAATTTCTCCACTTCGAGCCTTACATTTTTTCCCATTCAATTTAATTGAACAAATAGTTTGATCGCTAATATCAAGAATCTTTTGAGATAATTTTTTAAAATTATGTTTTTATTAAAATTTTTACAATTTTGTCGGTATCCTTCAAAACTCTATAATTTAATATTGCTGCACCAACAATTCTTGTCCTTTCAAAATCAACAAACCAATCAACTAAAATATTTAAAATATTTAAAATTTAAATTTAAATTAAACAATTAATATTTTCTATAGTAATTTCATTGAAATTTGCACAAGTATTTGGATCACGTATCTGAACCATTTTTGAAAATAAATAGAATTAAATACTAATTTATAAATAGATGATCTGAAAATTTAAGTTAATATTTTTTTATTACTTTACTTTAAATTGCATAATTTAGTCTGTTTAATCTTCTCTCAATGTTCGAGCTAAATTTTTTGGATAAAAGTCGGTCTGGATTCAAGGCTATGATTTTGATATTTAAAATGTTTATAGCGTTGAAATATAAACAAAATCTAACAGCTATTACGTAAGTGGACCGAGATACTGTCCTCTGAATGAATAAAAATAATTTTGGCAAATATAAAATTATCGGGTAAAATTTTTAAAAATGAAATTATAAGGTATTTCGATGCGCCTGAACAAGACGAGTCGATCATTCCTCTACCTAATCTTCTTGTTAGTTCCAATTCCGGTATGCTAAAATTTTTTTTATTAATTTCTAAATTATCTTTCAAAATTCAACACAATTTATATACAACGATTTAATTACTAATTTCTATAGTAACAAACATAAATTATCTAAATATATTAGTAAAAAATTGTTCTGATAAATTAATTAAATAGATCATCGTTATCATTGCTATTCACGTGAATATTTATTACACGAGTTTTTGATTACGTTTAGCAACGAAATAAATTAGCTTGGGAATTTTTTGATTGACTGGCCATTTTATATATTTTGGAGATAACAAAGTCCAAAAATGGATGGAAGGAAATAAATACAAAATGTGCCTCCACATGGTTATAGAAATATATATTTATAATTTAAAAGAATTTAAATGAAATAAAAATAAATTAATAAAATTAAACTGTAATAGTCCTAATCAGAAATTTCGGTATTTAACTAGACTTTTTTAGAATAAATACTAAACTGCAAATGTGATTATATAGAAGAGAGTCTTAATTTATTTTTAATAGAGAGTTTACAGAATTTGCTCTGCATAATTAGTTTGACTTTTTTCACTTTTCTTGTTACTTTTAGTAATTTAATCGAATCCGAAACTATAATTTAGTTAAGATTTGTTAGTTTTTTAAAGAATTAAAAAAAGAGAATTTAAAAATTAAGTTTTTGGTAATAAATGTTTGGAAACTTTTGTTGTATTCCTTGTATCTCGACTGATATATCTTAACTATTTGTGTGTGCTTAAAAATTCTGAAACACGAACTCTAATAATACGATAAAGATATACCAAATATATTGGCCTCCCATTAAACTTAATGTAAAAGAAAATATTTCCGATTAAAATAAAATATAAAATAATAATTAGGTATATATTTCTATTCTTCAATAAATGTGTGGAAAGTATTGAGTGAAGAAGGAAGATATATCCATTTTTAGGTAATTTATAGATATTATTGTACATAATGAAATATATTTTATAACGTTTAAAAGAACGTAAAAAGACTTTATAATTGTTAAAAGATAAAGAGTAGAATAAGAATTGAATATTTAAAAAATTCGAGGATTTAAATTTTAGTATACATATTTTGTTTATATTTTAATTCAATGCGCACAAAATTACAAAAGAAGAACAAAAAAGTTTCTTAAAATTAATTTTTAATTTATTTAAATTTAAAATAAAATAATTAATTTGGAAGTGTATTTATTAATAAAATAAAATATTATATATAATTATTATATAGTAATTGTTATTACCTCTCTTCAGACAAAAAATAATAATTTATTTATTCTTTGAAATTAAATAACTTTCAATGTTTTTAAAAATATGTAAATAAGATAACAATAATTAGTATAGTTTAAATAATAAAATTATCTTTCCATTACTTTTTTAGACTTTACTAAACATGTGTTCAATTATAAAAAATAATAATAATTTTATTTTATAAAAATTTCGATGAAATTTAAATTTTATAAAAACAAAAATTTAAATGAGAAAAAAATATATTTTATAAAAAATACAAAAATATTTTTTTTGTATTTTTACAGAAAAATATTTTAAGAAATTTTTTTTTAATTTTTAAATTTAGAATTGAATAATATAAAATTAATTTTTAAATTAAATTGAGTTTCAGTTTATTATATTTTATTTCATTTTAAAATTAATTTAGGTAAGAATAATCACTATTTGAATGTTTAAATAATTTAATAATATTTATGTATCAAGAAAACCTTTAAAAATTTTTAAATTATTTAATATTAAATTATAATACATACATTATTTCCTCATGATTTTTAAATTAAATAAATATGTAGTAATTAAATGTAAATCGTGAGAAAAATTTCAATTTTTTTAAAAATTATTAAATGTTAATTAAATAATATATGTATAATATAATAATTTTTTTATTCGATAGAAACATTATAATATTCAATTTTAAATTCCTTACCAACAGAAGAAATTTTTGTTACATAATTTTATTTGATTAATACTAGTGTTCGGCACGAGACGATATATCGACGATATTTCATGAGATATCGCGAGATTTTTTTCGAGATTATCAATCTCGATCTCGTCTCGATCAATTTTTGAAAAAATCGAGATTTTTCGATATCGAGATTTTTCGAGATTATCGATATCGTCTCGATCAATTTTTTGGAAAAATCGAGATTTTTTCGATATCGAGATTTTTCGATAATCTCGATCTCGAAAAATCGCAAATGCCGAACACTAATTAATACGAATAAAAATTTCATTTATAAATGATAGTTTTTCAAGTATGCATTTTAAATAAAAATCTTTTTCGTGAAATAAAGCATTATGAATTGAATTTCGAAGCAATTGTAAAAATATTAAAAATTTCACTGTTCCTTAAGTATAAATTTATACCCTTTAATTAATTTTTTTTAAATTTACTTACAAAACAAAATTTAAAAATTTTCGTTTTTTATTTTTCATTAAAATAATACATGCAATGCATATGTATGTATATAAATCAAATCTTATGATTTTTTCTCAATAATTTGTAAAATTCTTAAATACTAGGTCGTTTCATAAAAATGTTGTTTAGACAAAAATAGTCTTTTTATAATTGCCCAAAAGCTTTGAAAATTTGATATGAATTTTGTAGCCTGTATACACCAGAAGTATCATAACCATGGGGGTTCGACCTTCTATAGCATATGTGATGTTAATTCGTTAGTAGTATATCCTTCGAAAGCTCTTTAAGAGTTCTATCAAGGAAAATTGGATACCGAATTTTTCATTGATAAAAAACCCTGAATTTCAGAACGGTCAAAATTTGAATTCCGGGTTTAACAACCTATATGTCATTTACAAAACCGTTTAGATCATCCTGATCGAATGATTTTACGCAAATTTTAATGTACACATCGTTTTCACAAGAAATTTTTAAAACATAGAACTCCCTTAATATTTAGAATAAAAAATTCTTAAACTTTGGTTTTTATTAGAAAACACTCTATAAAGTAAATATCCTAAGTTTTAAGTCTTTTGGACATTTACAAAAAAAATTCTATAACTACCTATTTATGTAAAATAGAACGACTTAGTAAATAAAATATTAGAATTGCAGGTTATTTCAACAAATTTAATTAATTTTAAATACTAAAGAAAATATTAATAGATTCAAAAAGGATAAAGACTTCGAAGATGAGCGCTCAATCAGTAATATTATAACATTATTAGCCTAATAATTTGAATATAAATACTCAAAATTAGGAATATCCCTCATTTTTAGAATTAAGGATATCCCTTTCAGCCATAGGGTTTATTTAAGAATATGACTAAGCTTACTTTTTTACGATTTTATATTTGTTCGTAAAAAACTCAAAAACTTTAAGTTTGAAAATAAATCCGAGGATAAATAAAGGGTTTCTAATATAAAAAATATTTTTTATTATTTAATAATTAAAAATAATTTTTTAGTCTGATGATGGGACTAGATTTGAATTTCTTCTGCCCCCAATTGTTTATTCATTTGTAGGATTTATCGGAATATTATTAAATACAAGTGTTTGTTATATAACAATTAAATATAGGTAATTAATTAATTAATTAATTTAAATTAAAGAAAACAATATTCAACACTTAAAACAAATACAGCTATTTTATTAACAATTAACTCTTTTTTTGAAATTCTTCATCAATCTGGGCAATTTATTTACTTAATAATTGCTGTAAATGGAATTAATTTAATTCAATTAAATAAAATAATTTTATTTCAAATCCATTCAATTATTGGAATGTTTTCTGCTGTGTTTCTGTTTAATTCTTTAAGTTTTGATCTCCATTATCGTCACGGACAGATTATTAGATCTCCATTATCGTCACGGACACGGTATCTGTTGGGGTTAGACTTCTTTTTAACAAGATCTATTTGAAGAATTTCATCGCTATAATTTGGGAGATAACCCTTTGAAAAAATATTTTTGCTTCTGCTCATACGCACATGATCATTTTCCTTGAATCTTGGCTTTTTTCTAAGTTTATTCTTGCCAATAGGACCAAATACCATTTCTCTAATTTCCTTTGCATTGTTAAAGCTTACATCAACTGGTCTTAATCCACCTAAAACCCTACACTTTGAATGATTTATTGCGTTAACTATTTTCTGTAATACCTCTGTCCATTTTAATGTATGCTTCTCACTCATAAATCTGTACAATCTCTGTTTAATGTTTCGAATACATCGTTCAGCTAGTGACGCTTTAACTGATGAAAAGGTTGCCGTGTATTTTTCAATATCTTTTTCTCTGAAAAATGCAATAATTTCCTTGCTGCAAAATTCAGTTCCCTTATCACTAAAAATACGGTGTGGGTGCATTTCCATTCTTGCCAAAATTTTTTCAAATGCATCAATCATATCATTTGACTTTTTAGTTCGAACAGGTTCAGCGAAAACTCTTTTGCTTAACACATCAACTGCCACAAGCGCATAATTTTTCCCGTTATTTTGCCGCGATAATTTTTGGAAATCTGCCAAGTCGCACTGAACGTCTGTCATATAGCCAGACGGATTTGTTATTGATCGTTTAAAGTGCACGCGCCGAGGCCGGTGAATTGTATAAGTTCTATGACCTTCCAAATATTCTTGCA